CCGGGGCTTGAATCTTGGGATTTCGGAAGTTCCGAACAATGGTAATTTTCAGCATCGTTTACTCAGCGTGATTTCGGAGATTCCGTGTTTTGGGGAAGTTTCTCTTAAGTTCGGTCTATTTGGAAACCAGCGTAGGGCTAAACGAGCTCATTTCATTGATATTAGCTTGGGTTGCAGATCATTCACAGAAGTATCAGTTACCAGTTTTTTGTGGAGGGGACTTCAACGTAAACCCCTCGCGAATTTTTCGGCTAGATTATTTGGAGCGTGCTAGCATGCACTTGGTTGCTTCCGATGTCCGCACCTACGCCACTAAGACTTCCACCTTGGTTATTGACTATTTTGTGATGTCCAAATCGTTGGCAGATATGATTGATGGGTTTCCACAGACAAGGATAATGCATATCCTCATCATTCTCCCCATCGGCTGGTGTGTTTACACGGCATGCTGTCAGACAAGGAACTAGTGCCTGTTCTCGTTGTACCACCCCGTCTTCCGTTCAGAAGCCCTTTGGGCCCTCCCCTGAACCAGTGGGCTGGGCCGAATTGGATTGTTTCTTGGATCGAGCCAGTGTGAAATTTGAGGATCGTGGTGCCAGACTTCATGTGCGAAGGAAACTCCTGGACGCAGCATCTAATAAGTTTGTTAAATTCTTCGAACAGCCTGCTTTTGAAGCAACAGACACACCTCTTCGCCCCTTTTCTCGTCGGGCAAACCCTCCCAAGATCAATATGATCCCCCGCAGCAATGGAGTTCATGTTCCTCCAGAGCCTCCATGCTGAGGCGTCAGCTTTAACCAGAGCCAGGCTACATGCAGGCGCCTCCCTCTGGGGCTTCAGTAATTGCTGCGAGCGCGTAGACCGCGAGATTCTACGGGAACGAGCAGAACGGCAGCAGCATCCTCTAGCAGGGCTTGCTGTAGTCTTCAACCAATTTGCATCGTGCTCAACTTTCCTTACAAAAGGTGTTGCAGCAGGCTGTTCCCGTGCAGCTTCTCTGGTTCAGGCGTTTTCGCTGCCCCCCTCTGCGCGCGTGGAGCGCGAGGGATCCCGGCGTCGGCCTGGCGCTCTTCAGCGACGATTTCCTGGGTATGTTTCCCAACCACTGCACGATAACTTCGGTCAATGCTCTCACTCGTGCTGCAGCGGGCCTGTCGGAGCTGCTAGCTTCTGCCATGAGCTGCAGCGTGGCCTCGCACAAGTCGGCGATAGTTGCAGGCAAGACTAGGCTGATGTTACTCCTGACCGCCTCATTTGGTAAGTATGCAGGGCCCGTATCGCCCCCCAGCCGGTCAGCAACTACCAATATTGGGATGGATTTCTTCGCAGGCAGTCCTGTCGGCGCCGGCAAGTCCACGCTGCTGGCCGCGCTGTCCGAAATGCAAAAGAGGGGGGGCTACTCTTGCATTCGGAAGGCGTTCGGAGGCGCTGGAAAAGCGGAAGCGTAAGTTGTGCGCATTAAGACGGCGGGGGCCAAGATGGATTCCATGTTTGTTTCTGGTCTCCAGAGTTTTGGTTTCCACAGTTTACCTCAGTATTGCCTGGCCTCCTTTCAGAAGCTGTTCGAAACCTGTATCCTCAATGCTTATGGACGACTCCATGTGGAGACAGGCGCTCGGTCCGGAGCTATCTTGGGCGACGGTGGTGTGGACAGCAGCGACAGGTGAAAGGAGTGAGCACGCAGTTTCCTCACCTGATTTAGCTCGTCGTCTGGCCAACCCCGCGTTCTCCAATTTACCCAGGACATGGGCGACGGTCCGTGGCCCCCTTGGTGCAGCCCACCTGTCCTTGGAGAGAATTGGGTGGAAGTTCGATGGGGCCTTCATGTATGTATCTGCCCATGGTTGGGTCTACAATTTAACCAACTCGCTTCCGCGTGTGACCCATTGCCTCATGCAGAAACAATGGCGTTTACAATCATGTTCCCTTGCAGCAGACGAGATCGAATTACAGGGCGAGACCCCCGACCCGAGTCCAGCTATTGAGATGCTGGGTGACAAGGCCCTTGGGTCGCAGGACAGACATATTCTTCGTTCGTGTCTCTCTCATACTTCCAGGTCTAGTTCAAGGCTGCATCTTCTTGGCTATGATGTTGATCAAATTTGCCCCTTTATGTGGGGCCCAACCAGGTAATCTATTTGTTCGGTGCCGGGAGTGCACTGGAACTGAACCGCCAGAGGTAAGTGGTTCTGCAACGCGGACATGGACGTCTTATTTCACCCAGACCACAAGCATCACCTCCTGCTTGGTTCCAGGGCGTGTCCATCACCAGTCTTCGTCGCCCCGTCGGGATTCGGCATCCACATTTTTGAGTCTTGGACTCTTTCGGGAGAAGCCTTCCAGGAGGTACTGAAAGGAGCGGTATTTCTCGATGGCAGTTGCTTCGAAGACGGTGCCAAGCAGCATCATCGAGCAGGATGGGGAGTTTCAAAGCAGTCGCCTGAAGGAGTCGTCTTGGACAGGTTCTTTGGGAGAGTGGGCGAGAAGCTTCCGCGAAGCTCCCCGGCAGGGGAGCACGTTGCGCCGCTCGCAGTGGCGTCGTTGCTTCTGGGTGCCAGAACTGGTCTCTCGGATTGCTCCGGAGTTGCGGGGGTGCCGGCGATGCTTCGCAAGATAAACTTCCGCAGGAAGAATTCTTATTCAGGCGTCGAGCTCACCCTTGGGCGGGCCCCACCATGTTTCGAGATCCCGAAGGTAAAGGCTCATGTAAGCCCCGATGACTTTGTGCCCTGTTCGTCCGACGGGTACAAAGCCAGGGGGAATGAAGAAGCATATTCAGCTGCTAAGCTAGGTCAAACTTGCACAGCGAGCCCAGCCAAAGCGAGGTAGAGTCGTGGGAGTCTCGAGGCGAAGTCCTTAAGACGCTCCTTAAGTTTACCCCTGAAGCTTTGTCTCTCATCCCCAAACCTCCCAATGGGAAGCTGGAGCGAGTTCGGCCTGCTAGGATTCATGGGATTCCAGGCTCCGTTATATAGATGCATTGGGTCCTCGCGCTCCTGAGCATACTCTGCAGCGGCTCGGGGCGCATCGGCCTGCCGCAGGCGCCGCAGGTCCGCACCCTCCTTCTTCTCCCTCCTCCTGTGCTGCAGCAGGCCGTTGGAGACGGCCCTGACCACCATGCTCGGAGGTGGCGCCCCAAAGGTTTCTGGACTTGCCTGCGCTGTCAGCGCCGCAGTACCCGTTCCAGGCAGGACCCTGCCGAGAGGAGGCTAGATGGCCGCTTGTTCCACCATCCTCCACACCCTGATTTAGGGTGCCATGGCGCTTCGCCTATCCTTCGCAGCCTGTTTCATGACCAGCGTGGTTACACATTGCATCTTTCTGAGCACCCTTTATCCTTATTATTTGTCGTTCTTGTGGTAGCTACTCCGAGGGAGCCAGAATGCAGGGCTTAGATAACTAATGCATCCCCTTCAAGGAAACCGACAGGGCGAAGGCCAACTGGAGCCGTGCCAGCAAACGGACATCCCCCTAAACTGTAGACGGGGTAGCGTGGTCATCTTAGGTGACCTGCTCCCGTTTTCTACCGTGTTTGAGCTCAGGCAAGAGCTAGAAGACGGATGAGCCAATAGTAATGCCGTGGGACAGGTTCTGCATTGGCCTGACATACGCCCCAGTATTTCCAGCTTGCCCTTCTCTCTCCTTGTCCCCCGTTCCTCTTCCTCCTATTCTCCTCCTCTGGGGTTGGGTCCGGTGGAGCCGCTTTTGCAGCGGCAACGCTTTGGGCATGGCCCGAAGGTCGGTTGCTGGCTAAATCAGCTCGCCTTGCTTAGTGCCATTCCGAAGCTAATGTCAACACACAAAAAAATCCTCTTCCCCATCCTCGTCGTCGTCGTCGCGGCGGAGATGATTTTCCCTCTACTGTTGGACGGGCTGGATAACGTTGGGGGGTTCTTTCTCCCAGGGACTCATCCATTGTGGGCTGCCTTACACGAGAGAGGATTTGTGAGCATCTTCTCATGGGGGTGGCAATAGGCTCGATCGGCATCAGTGGTTGCGGTTGTAGTCGTCATTGTGGTCGTGGTTGTAGTTGTGATTGTAGTCGTGATTGTATTCGTAATCTTCGTCGTGGTTGTAGTCGTAATCGTAGTCGTAATCTTAGTCGTAGTCGTAAGCGTCGTCGTCGTCGCGGCGGAGATTGTTTCCCCTCTAATGGTCGGGCAGGCTGGATAATGTGGGGGGACTCTTCCCCAGGGAGTGCTGCTCCCTAGGCTACCCTGCACGATATAGGGGCATCTGAACACGTTGGTCAGAGGATTGCAGCCTCGAGCGACCCATTCTTCGCCGAAGGCTGTGCTCACGATCTCCTGCTGCATCTCGCCGTGGTGGTCGTCGTCGTCGTCGTTGTTTGCGCGGCGGGCGCCGAGGGGAACTTTTTATTATTTTCCAGAATTTGTCGGGGCTCCCGTCCGTCAACAAGAGCACTGGCGAGCCATTCCTCTCCACCAGTGGGGGGGGGGTCTTGAAGACCTCTAGAGGCGATGCGTTATCTCCTACCTCTCTCTCTCCAGATGTCGATCGATGTGACTGTCTTTCCGTGTTTCTCTTTTTCATGATCTCTTCATGTTGTTCGTCTTTGTGTTTTCGCTATTTGTTCTCCCTCTCTCTCTTCCCCCCTCTCTCTCTCTCCCCCCTTTCCTCTCCTCTCCTCTCTCCTCTCCTCTCTCCTCTCGTCTCTCCTCTCCCCTCCTCTCTTTTCTCTCTTCTCTCCTCCCTTCTCCTCTCCCTGCCTCTCTCCTCTTGAGTCCTCTCCTTTCTCCTCTCCTCTCCTCTCCTCCCGCCTCCTTTCGGTCTCCTCACCTCTCGTCTCCTCGCCTCTCTGTTCCTCTCCTATCCTCTCGTCTCTTATCTCTCCTCTTTTTTTTGTTTTCTCTCTCTCTCTTTCTCTTTGGTTGTTTCTTTCCCTCTCTCTCTCGCCCTCTATCTCTCTCTTTCTTTTTCTCCACCCTACTCTCCACAGTCTCGTCAGTTTGGCCGTCGGAGCGCCCGGGCCCGCCGAGGACATTGTAAACAAGTCCGAGGTCAAGGCGCAGGCCGAGGCGGACCTCGTGGAGGCCTCCGTCGGGTGCCCGTCGTGCTGAGGGGGGCCCCCACTGGGCCCCGGGGGCGGCAACAAAACGGCTCGGGATGACACACACCGGTCCCGTGGAAGGGGTCCAGACCTCGGGGTCGACGTCGTGAACGAAAACGCGACGTCGGGGGTCTGGGGCGCCTGCTCGCGACTCGCGGTTCTGGCTCTCGTCGTCCAACGAGTATCGTTGGGTGCCCCCCCCGCAGGCGCACGCGACGAGTCCTTCCTTGGTCTTCGGGGCCGTTTCTCCAGACTTCCGCTTCCTTGCACTGTTCTCACCTCAGGGGTGCGTCTGGGGGAATCTCGGCACTCAAGGGGAGCAGGAGTTGGCGGGGCAGATCCTCGCGGTCCTTCCCTGAGCGCAGTGGGGCCGGTCGGTGCACGGCTGGGCCGCCCGCCCGGGCCCACCGCACATTTGGAGCTCCAGCACTCTTTTCTCGCCCTTGTCGACCGACCTGCTGCCGCCCCGAGGCCATCTTGGACCGCGCCTTGGCATCTTGAGGCCCTCTTCTCTGGTTGCACTCGGCCGTGTCCAGAGATCACCGCCCACCAAACCACCCCAACCCAACCCGAAGGCTCAAATTTACCCTCGATTTCCAGTGGGGGGGGGGTCGGGAAACATCGACAAAAACACATGTGGAACCCTTACCCCCCCCAACCCGAAATTCTGGTCTTCGGGTTGGGTTGGGGTGGTTTGGTAGGTGGTCAAGAGAGGCCTCCTCTGGCCCTCGTGGCCGTCAGGTGGCACACGGCCTCTGGAGCGCCGGGCGGCTGCCCCCGCGAGTTCCCCCCCCCCCTCCCCCCGCGGCAGTCCCCCCCCCAGTCGGACCGCAGCAAGCAGACAGAAACTGGAGAGGCAGACCCTCAGATCCTGGCCTCTCCGATTTTTCGAGCCGGGCGTTTTCGCTTTCTGTTCCTCGGGCCCCTGGGCCCTCACAGATCGATCCGCCTCGGCGAAGGACGTGGAAAGATTGGGTCTAGGGTTCCGGGCGCGATTTCTTACGGCGTCTCAGGTTTTTTGAGACGTCGGATCTCAGGGAATGGAGAGAGAGCGGCAGAGAGAGAGAGGTATGGGGCACGAGGGACAGGACGAGGCACACACGAGAAAGGCGGCGGGCCACATCCGCAGGACGCCATCACGGCGGGGAGCTCGCAGCCCCGCGCCCCCGGCGGCGCCCGCATCTCCCTCTGGCTGCTCGGGAGGTGCAGCCCCCGTGGGCCCGCGGCACGTCGGAGCTCCAGCATCGTTCCCTGGCACTCCCTCGTGCTCGTGCCCAGCCTCTGTTGGCCCTGTGGCTCGGTTGTGGTTCGGTCGCCTTGGCCCCTCGACGAGCGGCGGCCCTCGTGAGGAGGCCTGCCCCTCCTGGAGGAGCGGGGAGCCTCTGTGGGCTCCGTGGCCCGGTCGTGGCTCCTCCTCCTCCTCCTCCTCCTCCTCCTCCTCCTCCTCCTCCTCCTCCTCCTCCTCCTCCCCCTCCTCCTCCTCCTCTTCCTTCCCCACCTCCCCCTCCTCCTCCTCCCCCTCCTCCTCCTCCTCCTCCTCCTCCTCCTGCTCCTCCTCCCCCTCCTCACCCCGCCTCTCTGCGGTCGTATTCTCCTCCCCACGCCCTTCTCCTCCTCGAGGAGTGGCGACCCTCACGAGGACGTTTGCGCTCATGGTGTTCCAACCTGTGGTAGCCTTCACCACCAGAAAGAGTTTCGAGCACCCAGAGAGTACCGAAGCTGGGGTGGTTTCATGTGCAGGGCCCCGGGAGGCGAGACTCGTTCGACACGGCTTCGAAACTGCTCTGGGTGCTCGACACTCTTTCTGGGATGCGGTCTGTGAGTACGATGGGAGCAGCATGAGTTTGCGCACTCCTATGTGTCGGCGGCGAGCGAGTGGGGGGGGAGTGAGAAGGAGAAGGCCTTCCCAGAAGGTTCGGGAGCTCTCCGGCCTTCTGCGAAGTTTGCTGAGCCTTCCCCGGAGACAAAAGGGCTCCCCCTTCCCATCTGCTCCCCTCGCTCGCCGCCGAATTTGGGGTCGACGTTGGGGTCATCGTTTCCTGGGACTCCTCGTGCCGAGCAGGTGAGGCCCTCGGGGGTCCGCGGGGGCCTCGGAGTGCCGTGGGGGTCTGCTCCGATGAACGACGCCGCCAGGGAGAGGCCAGCAGCCCTCCGCTCGTCCGCGGCACATTCGTCGGGGCTCCAGGGCGGAGGAGGAGGAGGAGGAGGAGGAGGACGAGGAGGAGGAAGCGGAGGAGGAGGAGGAGGAGGAGGAGGCGGAGGAGCTTGAGGAGGAGACACTTTGGGCGCTCCGCGCGGATTTTTTGGATCCACGCTGGGCCCCCCGGCGGCGCCTCCGGCGCCGCCATTGGCGCGCTCCGCGCGCCAGAAGGCACGCCGTTTTTCTTATCGAGAAAACGATGAAAGAAGGATTACGCTGAACAAGCGCATTTGGCGGGCTGCATCGCGGACGCGTTTGGCGCCCCTGATGGTCAGCGTCCGCTTCTTTCTCCCCTCGTCTCCTCCTTCTCCTCCAATTCCTCCTCGCACTGGCACGCTTTTGGCGCGTCTGCTTTCTGGCTCGTTTGAGTGCTCTGTCTCGCCTGTGCGCCGTTTGGGCGCCTTGCTGCGTGCGTGCGATGGGTTCAGGAGTGGCTCTGATTCTCAGGCCGTTCCTTAGATTCAGGTTTAGGTCTGGCGTGTCCCCGTACATGCGGGTTTTGGACGACAAGTAACAAGTACCCAACAAATGCCCCAACAATACCCCAACATAGTCGAAATATCGTCCCCAGACTATTATTTGTTCCTCCGGTAGGGGGACACGCCTGACATCTGTGGTCAGAAGAAGTTTCGTCGTTTCTTACAGCTGGCGTTCCTCGTTGTGGCAGGGCGAGGGCTGTAAGCCTCGTGGGCGCGCGCGACGCATCGGAGCTGCAGAATTCTAATTAAGGGATGGTTTAGTGATTGTTTTTGATTCTTTGTTTTGCCGATCGGCACGGGCCCTCGCACCCCCCCTCCCCCCCATGGAGTAGATCTTGGCTGTTTTTTGGCGCTTGTTTCGAGCGGGTGGAGTCTCCCCCAGAGGCCGCACTGCTGCCAGCAGTGGTCATGAGGCGATCTTGGTCAATGTTGAGGCAATCTTGGGCCGCTGGGGGCCGTCTTGAGGCCTCTCGGGTGCTCATTGGGGCAATGCTCGAACCTGTTTAGGCCATCTGGGTCACTCTTGAGTGCCATCTGATTGCCATCTTGGGCAGTGGTGGCGCCATCTTGGGGTCTGGGGGCTGTCTTGAAGCCATCTTTACTTTCCCTGGGGTCCAAGCAGACGACAGGCCAACCACATTGGACAGCAGGAGCTTGCTCATTGTTTGGAGGCCGGGGAGGCCTTCGGAGGCCTTGAGATGAGGGGTCCCGGGAGAGAGGTCCTGCTCCTCCTCCTCCTCCTGCTCCTCCTCCTCCTCCTCCTCCTCCTCCTCCTCCCCCTCCTCCTCCTCCTCCTTCCCCACCTCCCCCTCCTCCTCCTCCTGCTCCTCCTCCTCCTCCTCCTCCTCCTCCTCCTCCTACTCCTAGGCCTTGGGGTGTCCTTGGAGGCCATGCCATGGGAGGTCCTGGGCAGCCGTTCGGAGCCGAGGGGCCGCTCACGGGGTGGAGACACGATGCTCCCGCGCCAGGGGAAATCGCGAGCTCATTCTCAGTTGCAGCCTCAACATCCATATCCTTACCACATCGGGCGCCCTCGCTTCCTTGCAGTCGATCTCAAACATTCCAATGTGACCAGATTGCGGGAACCTTTCGAAGGTACATCGGATCGACAGGAACTCGACTTCGCGGTCTGCTGGCCCCGCGAGGTGGCCGGCGGGTCTACCCGCGACGTGACATCGCGGGTTTCTGTTGGGAAGGCCAACCGCCTCCTCGAATTCTTCGAAGGCCTGCGTGGGGCCTCCCTGGAGATCTGGATTTGGCGTCACCCAACATACGCATGCTATGTGTGCGTCGCCCCCCCAATGGGCGACGCGCGCACCGAGAAATCTTGTAGTACGTGCGCCGTGGCGGGCGCTTTCTGGCCACACCGCTCGGCAAACGATCTACTACAAGATGGGTATACCATATGTTCGGGTCGGGCGCGCGCCCCCAAGGAGGCCGTACAGTGCTAGTATGTCTCTGTGCGTCCCACGGATCGACATAGACATCGCACGAGTTTCCAGCTCGCTCCAGGGTCCGCCGAGGCCTCTCGGAAGTCTTCCCAGGGGTTGGGTTGGCGCCCAGGGCGGTGGCCCCCTTGCCTCTTGCAGATGTTCGAGCACGCTCACTGACGCCAGGGAGTTTCAGGGGCCACAGCCAGTGTTCAGTCGGGCATGCTTTTTTTTAACAGGAGGCATATCCAAGAACAGTCAACAATTCGTCTTGGGAAGATGTTCCGACTATGTTTGAATATGTTTGGAATATTCATTGGTTTACGCCACACCGCCGACCCCTTGGGGCGGCAGCAATCGTCCCCCGCGTGGCCTGTCTGGACAGCCTGTGAAGCCCCTCTAGACACGTTTTCGAACCCTCTTAGGACCGTCCTGCCGTTCCCCTGGGCCATTGCTATGGTTTCTGGGGCCTTCGTGGGGCGCCCGGAGGCCGTCGTGAAGCCTTTTGGAAAGTCTCTTGGGGTGCCAGAGGTTTACTGGGCCGTCGTGGGCCTCGTGGAAGCTCAAGAAGCGAATATGCTGAAAATGTACGTTTCCCCAGGGAATGGGACGGTTTTTGCTTCTGGAGGCCTGCTCGGAGCGCCTCGTGGTCGCGTATGCAAACGTCTTGGACGCCCATGGGGCTGTCTGGAGGCAATCTTGGGCGGTTTGGACCGAATCGTCCCCCGCGTGGGCCGTCCGGACAGCCTTTGGGAGCCCTCTTGGCCCGTTTTGGAGCCCTTTTGGGACCTTCCTGCTTTCCTGGGCCGTTGCTATGGGTTCTGGAGCCTTCGTGGATCGCCTGGAAGTCGTCTTGGAGCCGTCTTGGGAGCTTCTTCGGGTGACAGGGGTCGATCTTGGAGGTTTATTGAGCCGTTGTGGGCCTCCTGAAAGCCCAAGAAGCGAATGTGCTGAAAATGCACGTTTTCCTTAGAGAATGGGACGGTTTCTGCTTTTGGAGGCCTTCTTGGAGCGCCTCGTGTTCGCGTTTTCAAGCGTCTTGGACGCCCATGGGGCCGTCTGGCGGCGATCTGGGGCGGTTTGGACCGAATCGTCCCCCGCGTGGGCCGTCCGGACAGCCTTTGGGGACCTTTTCGCCTCGTTTTGGAGCCCACTTGGGACCGTCCTGCGGCTTTCTTAAGCCGTTGCTAAGGTTTCTTGGGCTGTCGTGGATCGTCCGGACGCCGTCTTGGAGCCTTCTTGGGAGCCTCTTGGGCTGGCGAGGGTTGATTTTGGAGGCTCCTTGGGCCGTTTTGCGCCGCGTGGAAGCCAAACTAGCGAATGTGGTGAAAATATACGTTTTTCCGAAGGAAGTGGGACGATTTTTGCTTCTGGAGGGCCTTTTTGGGGCGCCTCGCAATATTGTTTCAAACATCTTGGGGACTTATGGAGCCGTGTGGAGGCAATCTTCGGCGTTTTGGGGCGATCTTCCGTCGATTCGTAGCTCTCTTCGACCATTCCGGGAACCTTTGGAACCTTTTTGGCCCGTTTTGGGGCCTCCTGAGGCTCCAAGTGTGCGGATGATGGATTGGCTCCCCCCCTCCATCCTTACCTCCGAACCAGCCAGACCAGGCCCCCAGGGAGGGGTTTGGGGAGGGGGAAGCATCTCACACGCTGTGACCCCAAGGGGTCGGCGGATTTTTATGCTTCCTCCAAAATTCCCCTGTAGGGGGGACATGCCCGACCTAAAGCTAGGGTTCATAGAGGTGCCCGAGCTACTGGTAAGAGCACGAGGAAAGACGCTCGAGTGCAGCCAGAGTGTCATCTGAGTGCTTTGGCGACTCTACTTCTCGTCCTTCTCTATATCAGGTTCCAGCACAGAAGCTTACGCTTCTGTATTGTCTCTGGTGTAGAATCCATCCAGAAGCCTCGTAGGTTCCGAAGGCATTGCGATTGGGGCAGCACATGCATGCTGGCATGCATTGATCAGTATACTCGTGAGCGTCCGCTTGGATTTGTACTCAATGGTCAACGTTGACCTGGTGAGTCGATCGAGTTTCGGCCACGATCGCAGGACAAGGTTCTCAACTCAGCTGTGTGCGATGGCATTCGGTTGCACAGGAGAAATCCATCACCACAGCGGTGTTGCCTGAGGTAGACGGGGGAGGAGCAGTGGAAGGTTGTGGGTGAAGATCCCTCGCTGCTTCTCTGTGCGTTTTTGTCCTTGCCTCGCCAACGCTGATCGCATGGACTCTTGGGCCTTTTCAGTCGGACGACAAAAAGGGCGGAACCATCACTCTTCCGTGAGGCCAAGGACAACAAGGAGTCCGTCCTGCTCGAGCTGGAGCAGCTGTCGAATTACAATGCCCAGCTCCACCAGAGGGGAGGGAGGGCATGCGCCAGGGCACTCGTCTCTTCGACCTGTGGCAATGAGGGCTGTTGTGATGACGTAGTGGTGGAATATCATCGGGGTCTTACTAAGGTAGTCTGACAGCATCTGCTTTTTCTTCGAACCAAGATCTGTAATTCAATGTCGCAGTAATCCCTTTTGGTCATCGGACCAGTTTTAATTCCACAGCTCGGCTTGCCTAAGGGGCTCCTACTTAGTTCAAGCTTGGTGCCTCGGTAGGCTATTTTGCCTTTTCCTCGGAGGTTCCCCGGGTTCCTCGGGTTCCGCGGGTTCCTCGTGTTTTTTGGGCTCCTCGGATTCCCCGGGTTCGTCGGGTTCCCTGGTTTCCCCGGGTTCCTCGGGTTCCTCGGGTTTCTCGGATTCCCCGGGTTCTTTGGGTTCCTTGGGTTCTTCGGGTTCCTCGGGTTCCCCGGGTTCCCCAAGCAATTCCAAGCAATGCCAAGCAATGCGATTCACAATGCCAAGCAGTGCCAAGCAATGCCAAGCAATGCGAAGCAATGCCAAGCAATGCAACGCAAAGCAATATGATTCACAATGCCAAGCAATGCAACGCAATGTGACTCACAATGCCAAACAATGCCAAGCAATGCCAAGCCGTGCCAAGCAATACCAAACAATGCCAAGCAATGCCAAGCACTGTCAAGCAATGCCAAGCAGTGCCAGGTAATGCCAACCAATGCCAAGCAGTGCCAAGCAATGCCACGAATGCCAAGCAATGTCAAGCAATGCTAAGCAATGCCAAGCAATGCCAAGCCCGCGCCCATGCAATAGGAAGCTTTCCCCTAATTTGGGTCGCGCTGGGTTCATGAATAGCTTCGCCCTCTCCCGCCGCTTTCGGATCTGTTTGTGGGTTAAGGGCCGTCGGGTCGGACAATTCTGTGAGCCTTCTCGAGGACCTCTTGCGGTTTTCCCTGGCAGTCTCAGGCCAATTGGGGCCATCTTGGTGCAACCTTGCGGAGGAGGAGGATGATGATGATGATGAGGAGGAGGAGGAGGAGGAGGAGGAGGAGGAGGAGGAGTTGGAGGAGGAGGAGAGGAAAGGGAAGAGGAGGAGGAGGAG